GAGAGAGAGAGAGAGAGAGAGAGAGAGAGAGAGAGAGAGAGAGAGAGAGAGAGAGAGAGAGAGATCACTCTACTGCCATAATCCAATTTGACTCTCAGTTGATACATGTCGTAAAAGATTTTTTTTTTCATTTGTATGGATGGCAATCCCCTTGGAGAACTGGAGTAAATTCTTCCACTATTTCACTCCATCTATTAAAATTCTAGACAGTCTCTTTACTGTAGATTAATATGGATTTTTTTTTCATTATATCATTCTCCAGGATGGATATAATGGATAAATAAGCAAGCATGCACTCTTCCCCCAAAACTCTGTGAAGAATAACCACAGAAATAATGTGGTCAAATAACCCCATTAAACCTAAAACCTGCAATTCCTCCATATATATTTAAACTCACATGTATTTCTCTCTCATATGAGGTTTTAGTTCACTCTCTTGACAAGCAGGAAGTGATTTTGCTTTTAAACACCAATCTGAACATTTTAAATGTATGGTTAACACACTCAATAGCTTACGTCTGTGTCAGAAGCGTCACCCGGGAAGCTTTCCTGCAGACACTGTGTTCTCTGAGACGTTCTTTGATGCTTGGATTCCACTTCTGAATCATATTCATTTGAATCTCTTAACGTAGACAAGCCGCTATCAAAGCAGCTTTCAGGCAAGCTGTCAACTTCACAGTTTATCCTCTGCATTGGATCACAAAGTGCGAGGGAATCATACTCTTCATCCACATAGGATGAATGAGACAGCCTGATTGGGACATAAGGAGAAATAACTTTTGGAAAGGCAATGCAATGTAATAGGGTAAGGTTCAAACCCACTCTCAGCCATGAAAATTTAGGCTTCGAGGCAGTCACTCTTTAAACCCAGCCTGCCTCACAGGGTTGCTACTATGGAACAAATTTGAGGAACCATGTGGTACATCCCCTGGAGCAGGGGTAGGCAACCTTGGCTCTTTTATGACTCGTGGACTTCAACTCCCAGAATTCCTGAGCCAGCCATGCTGGCTCAGGAATTCTGGGAGTTGAAGTCCACGAGTCATAAAAGAGCCAAGGTTGCCTACCCCTGCTCTAGACATTTAGGTAACTATATTTCACATGGGGAAATATACAGAGTATATGAATAATTATACCGTTACGTTAAGTCAGGGAGAGCAGGCCTACATACTAACGTTAAAACAGAAATTGTAACTAAGGCATACGGAAGTGTAGTTATCCTGTTCCATTAGACTAGAATATTCTGAATAATTTCAAAGACTAATAAACATAGTTAAACATCTCTTGAGGTACAGTGCTAAAACATCAAAATAAAATACAATAGTAAAGCATTTGAGGCCAGTTTATTGCTTATATACTTATTTCATTAAAGTATTTATATCCCAATTTCTCAGCTGGTAGCTTTCCTCAGCATTCAGGTTTAAGAAACAGTATTTAAGAAAAAAAGATTAAAAGTCCTTCAAATTTTATAAACATGAAGTAGGACACACATCTCTTAAAGCATTTTTTTTTCCAAAAAGCATGCAAGAGAAACTCTGCGCTGAAAACTGAGAGGAAAATCTGTATTCCTTGAAGCTATCTTCTTAACTTAGGTAATATACATAATACCAAACCTTAAATTTACAAAATTATTCCAGAGACTATAAATGCTAGGCTCCCATTCAAAAAGCATAAATGAATGAGAAGTATTAACTTTAATTCCTGAAAACCTGGCAGGGACGAAATCCAAAACAGCTGTTCCCTACAGTCAGGTCCCTTGTTAGATGATCATTCAATTCCACTAGAGAGCAGCATAGGGTAGGCGACCAATGCTGCATATTAAAGTTATCATAAACATATAGTAAGGGTGTCCACTCCAACCTTGGCAACTTTAAGACTTGTGGACATGCTGGCTGCGGAATTCTGGGAATTGAAGTCCACAAGTCTTAAAGTTGCCAAGGTTGAACACCTCTGCACTATAGGAAACCTACAGATTGCCATTAGTATCTACTTGCTTCTAGTTTCCATCTTGAGCACACAACCAACTGTATCATCTATAGCCAGGTTTACACCACATTTGTTCTTGACAGAGATGCTTGACTATGGAATTAAACTATGCATTCTGAAGACTAAATTACCTCAACAAAGTCAACAGACAAATCTATAGATCCAGATTGATTCCAGGAAGAATTTACTAAAAGAAAGACAAAAAGACACCACTACAACTCACACCATTCAAATACTCTCTTGTTCTCTCCAGTCTAGTCCAGTCCAGTCCTAATTTAAAACCTACACCAATCTGATCATTCCACTGCACTGCCTGTTGGTATAAAAAGGTGCTACCAACTGCTTTGGATTTTTGGATACCTCAGATTAACAGCAATCTGTCCTTCAACTTCTAGTAAGTTTTTATGGAAGATTAGTGATACCAATTGGCTCTTATCTGTGTGGTGCAAATAATGAACAGACAAGACTGCTGGCTAATCCAAATCAGTTTTCCACACCTAAATCAGGTTCTTGAGAGGAAGAAAGGAACCACCAGAGATGGAAATGTGATGAACTCAGATCAATCCATGTATTGAAAATATAAACTGTAGACTCAGAATTTGCTCAGGGACACCCCATTATTTAATCACGCACAACAATAAAAACTAGCTTTTATCAAGTGAGAATAATTAATCAGTGGAACAGCTTGCCTCCGGAAATTGTGGGTGCTCCACCACTGGAGGTTTTCAAGAAGAGAATGGATAGCCATTTGTTCTGAAGGCTATAGGATCTCCTGCCTTGGACAGGTGATTGAACTAGAAGACCTCTAACGTCCCTTCCACCTCTATTATTCTATGTTCTAGATCATCAGATATTATTTCAACCCTATCTTGGATTGTCAGAGATTGAACCTGAGAATGAATCCACCTTTATCATGAAGATCTAGAAAAAGAAATGAATTTGAAAGGTAGAAAACTGCTTGACTCCGTCTTTAGAATATAACTGAAAACATATATCCAGTTTTTCACATTTTAAAGATGATCAATTCTACCTGTCATATTGTAGATTTTGGGGAGAATGGCCACCAACACATTTGGGACTGCTTCTGGACAATGTGTTTCCAGGAGAAATATTTGTTAGACGCTGGAAAATACACACATAAATTAGAAAGGTTTTCAGAAAACTTGAAAAAAGTTGGTTTAAGATCATCTCTTTATCAACTAAAACACTTTTCTTGATTACAGTTATTTCAATTTTGGAAAATGTAAAACAAAAACATGTGGAATCATTATGTGCCTAATTTGGGGGAGATATAAATGAAGCATCTCCTTTGTATATTGGTTTCTCAAAAATAATTTGTCTTATGAAATAAAAAATAATAATTCTATATTTCCTACTTTAATAGAAAAAAATACAAAACTATAAAATAAATAAACAATATTAGATGAAATAATCAAAACTTTTTCTCAAGAATTCTAAATAATTCAGTGTGTCTTCTTTCTAAATAGGCACAGAATTATCCTATCAAAGTATATACATTCAGAGAAAGCCGCATTATTTCCAAGTTAAAAAGCACAGGATTGTTTTGATATAAATCCAGAAGGTTTATTATATTTCAGTGACTCCAATTTAGGTGTTTTATTAAAATGCCCAAAATAAAAATAGTGATCTATTAATTAATATATAATCAATGACATGTTGAATGTACAATGTTCAAACCTACCAGTGATCTGTTGTATATGCTCCAACTATTCTCTAATGCACTTCTTAAGCCATCATTACTGTCATGTAGTTTCCTGTTAGCTGCCCTAAAATCAAAACAGAAGGGGAAAAATTGCCTTACAAGATCAACCCTGGCACTTGCAGTTTAAGTTGGTGTTAAGAAATTCAACAAAAATAAGAGAATAAAAGGGGTTCCATGTGCCTTCGGTAAAAGTTAGGAAAACGGCAGAATGGTTTGATAAATGCCTTTCTGCCTATCTATCTGTATGTGTATATCTCTGAGTCAGTTTTCACTTCCTGGAGTTTTCTTGGTGAGATTTTGAAAGCAGTTTGCCACTGCATGCTTCCTAGGGCTGAGAGAGAGTGAATGGCCCAAGGTCGCCTAGCTGGCTTTTTACAGGGCTAGAACTCACACTCTTCCAGTTTCCAGCTTGATGCCTTAACCCAGGGGTAGGCAACCTTGGCTCTTTTATGACTCGTGGACTTCAACTCCCAGAATTCCTGAGCCAGCATAGCTGGCTCAGTAATTCTGGGAGTTGAAGTCCACGAGTCATAAAAGAGCCAAGGTTGCCTACCCCTGCCTTAACCACTACACCAAAATGGCTCTCTATCAGTGTTAATACACTATTATATTTAGTCTTTACAATGGTTATCATATGTGTGGATACCACTGACCCCAAAGTAGGAAAAAGAATAATTACTACTATAATCACAAAGACTCCATGTTTACCTATTTGAGAAGGGTCAAAGAACTGCTGATTTTTCATTCCCCACTCCACTAACTTTTTGCCAGTCTGAAGGTTCACAAGGTCCCAATCCAAATTAACAGGAGGAGAAATCAAAGTACTGCAGATGCACGATAAGATATTACCCCCCCCCACAAAAAAATGAGAATCTTCATTTTAAACACTATCAAGGCCCTTTGCATCACCCTTCCCAATTCTGAAATCCTCCATGTATCTTAGGTTACAACTTTCATCATTTGCAGATAGTTTGACATGTGATGGGAGTTGTAATTCAGATCTAGAGGACATCAGGTTAGGAAGGAATGGCATAGTTATCAAAGCATTAACAATGCATAAGGCAGTAAAACAATTTATGGCAGGGATTGCTCTGAGCAGTTTGCTGCAACTAAATTTTGATTTTTGTCTGTATATGAACCTCAACCTGTACAAATTAAAGAACTTCGAAGCAGCAGAATTAATTGTATTATTTCACACACTAGTTGAGGGTGGGGAGCTCAATTTTTAATGTTCTCCCATGTTTCAAACCAAATGCTTTGAAATCCAAAAGCTATCACAGCAAACTTTGAAAAAAGCAAAAACCTCACGGAATGCTTCCATGAAATTCAGTATTGAAGAAGAAACAAAAAATGGCATTTATTTCTAAAATAAATATTAGGCCTCTACAATGCTCAAGAATGAATTTTGAAGAATGTTTTGGAATGTGTGGGGACTTAATCTACATGCCTCATTAAAGCAGCTTTGTCCAAGATTGCAGTTGAAGAAGAAGCCTTCCCACAGTCTCTATGTAATAAGAAAATAATGTGGATGCTTTAATGAGTCACAAGCAGGCTGACTTCACAATGCAAAGCACCTCTTCAAGAAAATAGACAGCTGCAATAACATCCTGTGCTTATATGGCACCATGAAGACCGCAGAGTAAGGTCCAAGTAAGTTATTCCAGAAGGGTTATTTCAAAGTGGAGAAGGCTGATTCTAGGTATAAGCCACCTTAGCAGTCATGTGTTCTTGGAGCAAAGCCTCCAATAATTACCTTAGTTCTCAGACAGAATTATTCAATTCAAACATCTATTTTACTGCAGACCAGTTCAATTCTTCCAAGAACATTCAGCCAGGTATTAGTGGTATATATTAAGCATGAGATATTATATTATGTTGTTATACTGTATTTTCAGGTACTTTGGACCAACATCTTAATGTAATGTTAAAATGGTACACTACATGTAATGTAATAACCACTGTTTTAATTGTTTATAGTTTTAATATGGTTTTATATATTGTGTTAAATTGATTAGAAGATGGGCAGCTAGATGCATGTTTTAAATAAATATGTCCTTTTGGAAAGGAACATACAAATAAATAAATAAAATGCAGAGAACTATGGCTCTTTTAGAATTCAGTGACCTAAAAACCTGTAAGATTATAGACTTTGGTCAGGAGAGGTATAAAAATTAAAAATAAATAAAAATTATTAAATTTTATTTCTGAAGAAAGATCTTATCAATTTCCTATAATACCAAATGCAGCTTAATACTGTGACTATGTTTTATCTACCAGATAGGCTAATTAAAATATAGATCAGGGAACTGGAGACACCTTTCACACACAAAAAAGAAAAGAGAAAGAGCTGTTCTTTAACAGAAAAAAAGAGAGTTGTTCTTTTCCTCATTGGAGATCGTAATTTCTGAATATCAAAATTTATAAATGAAAACACTTTAAAAAGAGAATTATTTAGCAGCTTACTGTAATATTGCTATCTGCCTCTCCAAGCTATCTCTGTCTTCAGTGTACTCTCTGATCATGTCTAGATCTCTGCAAAGAGAATAGTTTAGGGGAATTAATTTGGTTTTTTACCAACAATAACTTACTATGTATCTCTAGAGATATTCTCTTACCTTTCTGAATTCAAACTTTGATCTGCAATATCACTTTTTAAAGTATCTAATTCACTCTGAAGAAAAGCTATATTTGTCTGTGCTTCCATAAGATCTTTTTTAAGTTTCTGGTTTTCCTAGAAACAGAAATTTTTAAAATGAAACATTCAAAAATAGTAATTCATGCAGTAATGATTTATGAAATTAAACATATTTTTAGTATTATTTGAATGGCTACTTTGATCAATTATTTCACCAACCTGTGAACTACTTGAATAGTCCCCAATTTAAAATAAAGGGATTAATTATTTCTGCACTGGTTTTCCATTTGTACCCAACCTGTTTTTCCCCAAAATATGTTTGTAGCTTTTCCAAACTTCCTAGAATGGTATACACAAGGTCACAGAATCTATAAGAATTCCATCTCACTGTTCAACATATCTGCATCTAAGGGCCAATCTGTATTTTATTGTTACACATACCACCTATCCACTAACTAGCTGTTAATATATGGAACTAAACATACTACATGCCTAGAAAAACTTTTTTTTCTCTCCTTAAAATTCTATTCGTTCATTTAAACTCCCTGACAGTTCAAGAAAATATCAAATTTTACCAAGCCAGAAGAGGCAACAAAAATACTAATTATGTTGAGACTGATAGACTAAATGAAGAAATTTTAAGTAAGTCATACCAAGATCAGATCATGTATCCTTCTTTTTAATACTGCCAAATCTTCTTTGTGATTAATGTTTTTAGATTGTTCCTCAAGCTGTAAACAATAAAGAAAGCGTAAAAGTTATAACTTTTTTTTTCTGACTGCTTTAGTACAATGCAAAGGGAATCAAATCTTTCATAAAAATACTCAAGAACACAACTGTTTTCTTTACTGGTTATTTGAGGGCAGCTTTTAAAACGAGAAAACTAATAACTTGAAACAGTACTACACTATTAAACTAGTCATTAACTTCCTGAGCTATTATCATCAGTACAAATAATTTATGGTGTGTAGCACTAAAGAACAAAGAACTATTGCATTAATAAATGAAAAATTAAAATAATAACTGGAAAGTTAAGAACTAACTAATCTTCAATCTACAGAAAGGTTTCCCAATCTGTCAACAAAAAGAATTCCCGCTCATTTTAGGCTATAAGCTAAATCCTTACTTTCAAGCTGACCAAAGTCTATTTAGATTTAACAGGTATTTTGATCATTCAAAAACATAATTCTCAAATACTGTTATTATTAGGGAAGTGAGTAACCAAAAGACATGTGACAGGAGAAAGGCTCACTAAGGTCAACAGGTTCTTATTTGTGATTATTCAGACTAGGAATTGCGGACACAAACCCAAGACTTCAATGAGCAGACTTACTCCCAAATACAACAGAGCTAACTTCCCACTTTTTGAAATAACTAAAGACTAATTGCCTTGTGAAAAGGGTGAAGGACACAGTTAAGACCACTTAGTTCTGATTCATAACCACATCATAGAACACAGTTCCTTTCTTTTTAAAGAATCCCTGTTATCTCAGGGATTAAAATATGTGAAGTTCATTTTTCAATAAGATGGAAGTCTTCTTGTCTGCTTAATTGCTTCAAAGATAGCAGAATATTTACAGAGAATCGGGCCTGGATCTATTTAACTATACACTGTTCACCACATATTGAGTATGTACACACCATTTTTAATTTTTTTATTGTCACTTGGAGATCCCCCACTTCAGTTTCATATTGACGCTTGAGATCATTCAAAGCTTCTTCTGCTTTACGCTTCTCCTGAAACATTTTACACATTTATTAAATTAGAAATGGCAGACTTAAGCAGTTTACATTGCATTCTAATTCAGCAGAACATGTATCTGCTCTAATTATACAGTCAAAAAATATTTGGCCAGTCTTAAAGCATTCAAATACGACTAGACTTGCATAAAGATTTGCTATAGTACGTTTCATGCCTCTGCCACCTGGAAATAAACACAAAGCATATACTCTAGAGCAGGGGTATCAAACTCATAACGTCACGTGACGCATCGCGACATATCGTGACTTTTTCCCCATTGCCAGAGCTGGGATGGGTGCGGTTTCGGCATGACACATCCGGCCCGTGGGCCGGCAGTTTGACACCCCTGCTCTAGAATAATTATTAGCACGCAAAGCACTGTTTGACTGTGTTACAAGTCAGACTTGCTTCGGTAAAAGCTATGTGCTAATAAAATTTGTGGTTCAGAACTATCCCACAAAGTAAATATCACAGCAATCTTGCATTTACATTTGAGGCGTCTTTCTTTTTAACAGTACATTTTTGAAGAACAGAGTAAGATAAGCAGAATTTCAAGAATGATAAGCAAACTACATTATTATAGGCTGGCTGTTCTTAATATTTAGATGGCAATTAATACACAAAAAATACCCATTTACACTTTGCTATTGTTTTATCAAATACCAACCCATTCCTTAGTAGAGTCAAAAATGTCCATTGCACACACATTACTTGCAAGTTTGTTTTTCCTTCTCTAAAAACAAGTTTTCCTCACTCCACAGGACAAAAACAATATTTTTGAAACTCAGGGATACTGCAAAAGCAAATTATATTCAGAACCAAGGTTATAACTACTGTATACTATTGCTATTAGTTGTCGACAGCCACATAAATTGGTTTAACTAGAATTTATTTAATTTGTTTGGTTAATACAATATATTGAACTATAAACCATATTTTGCAAACTTTACTTCAAACCCTAATTTAAAATCATAATATAACAGGGTAGCATGTGAATCCTATTAGAATCTCTTGTTTATTTTGAGAGATAGGGCAAATACTCAAAACTAAACCCAGAATTTTGCCTTCATTTTTTCCTGTATTTTTCATATGTTAATTGTTTGGAGGAATAAATGACACTGTGCATGGGTGTCCACAGAAGTTTCCCTCATTTGTCAAAATGACAAAAACAGCAGCTTATCACAAGCTTCACCCCTTAGGCATGCATAGTGTCATATGCACAAAAGAGGAGCGCCTTTCATCGTATCAGTACGACATGGTTTTTGCTCCTTAATTTAGTTCACCTGTAGATTCTTCCCTACTGTGTTCTGATTTGAAGAAAAAAATTCTCAACCAATTCTGCCTTAATCTATTTTAACATCTTGGTTCTTCTAACTAAAAAAGCAGTTTTAACAACATCGTGATCAGATTTCTTATCCATAAGACATAAAAGCCTACTATTTATGGCTCCTTAAGTATACTAAATTATGGCTCCTTAAGTATACTAAATTATTAATAGAAGGAATGCAACCTCACTAGTAAAGGTGGAATAATGAAGTAGTAATCTAAATTGACAACAGGGATTCTATGAAAGAAATCTTTCAAGGATACAGAGATGTCCTAGGATATCACTAAGGAATAACTACCTATATTTTCTGAAGTCAATGTATGTGATTATTATACCATATTCTAAAATTAGAGATCTAAATTTCTGGTTAGAACTATTTGTAATTTCAGCTCTATAATATGCAGAATACAGTTTTTTTCCTTTTAATTATTCCCTAGATTTAATTACAAAAAGTTATATCAAAGAAACCAGAGACACACTAAAATAAATGGAAATTAAGGATATCATTGAATGGAAAGAGGAAGAGAAACTGGGGTTTACACATTAGCCCATTTCCAAGTATCTTTATTTGCACATGATCTCTAAGAACTAGTATGGGACCAATCGTTATGAATTCACATTTCCTCCATATATTACGCACTTGGAGAAAGAAAAATTCCACAAATCTATATGTATTATTCCACTTCCAGAACCCTATATAATGGCTTTTCATCTTCAATATAACAGATCCTTAGACTACAACATAGTCTGCAATGACAAATTACTTCAAATTACTAGCCTGCAGTAAGCTATCATGGACATCTTTTGCTCTTCATCTAATTTTCTTTTTTTGCATACAAAGCTGGATAATAATAATAATAATAATAATAATAATAATAATAATAATAATAATAATAATAATAATAATAATAATAATAATAATAATAA